AATCTGGGCCTCAACCTGCGCAAGCTCTTCATTCTCTCGTTGGACGACGAGGTCGTTTTCTTTCAATCGAGCCATTGCAGGATGAACTTGTTCTTTAATCACTTCCAGATCTTGCTCGAGCGAGCTCCCCTCGGCCATCCGCGTGACGGCTTCAGCATACCGGCCGATCATCTCCTCGCCTTCGGCCAGGCGAGCTTGCAATTCATCCAATTGAGCCGAGTCAAGCAGACCGAGCGCCATGGCCGTATCCAAGCAGGACCTAAACTCTTCGATCGCCCCGGCAGCGGTCATTTGCCGAACATCAATGACGGTCTTCATGAAGAAGCCGTTCAATGACGGTCTTGAAATCCTCGTCCAAAGGAGCCGAGACCGAGCTTCCCCCTTCTTCATGGAGGCTGGCGTATAACTCATCAAGATCATCGGAGGAGGTGGCTTCCTGAACATAAGTGGGAGTAAGGGTAAGAGATAGTTGACTAGGATGTAAAGTAATAAACAAAAAGGAGGTCGAATACTCACGGGGAGTGAAAGGTCGGTCATCACCGCCGAAGTGGTCCGCAGGAGGCTCGGCACACTCATGACCGTGGCTCTAGTCATCACTGGCCTGGCCACGACCGTTGAGTCCTGAAGCGATGGCATAGGCGGTATGGTCGCGGCAACCATGGCCAGCGGCGGCGACGATTGGGGAGGCTAGAGACAAATAGCTCGGTCAGAAGTGTAGAACAGATCAAAAGAAAAACAATAAGGCCGAGTATTTTGAAAGTGGATTCTTACCGAGCGAAAGGAGATGCCGCTTGGGCGACGAGGGGCGGACGTCAGAGGCCCATTTGGCACGTCCACAGCGGGTTCTTGGGCGGCCTCGTCGGTTACTTCCTCAGCGGCCTCTTCATTGCCCTCCTCGCCGGCCTCGTCAGCAGCCTCTTCGGTAGTTCCCTCAGCGGCCTCTTTGGCGACTTCCTCGGCGATCTCTTCGGTCGCCCCCTCTGCAGCCTCCTCGGCGGACGGCACCTCTGCGGGCGCCATCTCAGCATCTTGCGCCTCAGCCCCTTTGTCGGCAGCGGCCGCCTCCTCAACCGTTGCCCCTGCGGCTCCCACTTCCTCGACCACCGTGTGGACATCAGCCGTTTCCGTTGTGGACGGCTTCGGTAGATCCCTCTGCGGCCTCTTCGGCGACTTCCTCGGCGATCTCTTCGGTCGCCCCCTCTGCAGCCTCCTCGGCGGACGGCACCTCTGCGGGCGCCATCTCAGCATCTTGCGCCTCAGCCCCTTTGTCGGCAGCGGCCGCCTCCTCAACCGTTGCCCCTGCGGCTCCCACTTCCTCGACCACCGTGTGGACATCAGCCGTTTCCGTTGTGGACGGCACCTCGACCGTAGTCTCCTCCTCGACTATTACCACGTCCTGAGGAAAGAACCAGATTACCAGAGTGCATAAAAATAAGAAAATAATAAATAAAAAAGGGAGGTGCCTGGGGGTGGTACTTACGATCGCAGGGGGGGCCTCACTCACAGTCACAGAGGGAGCCTCCTCTTCACTTCTGCCCTCCGGGGAGGTAAAGAGGGTCCTCTTCCTCGGCCGTTGCACGGCCGCCATCTCGGCCGCGGCACTCTGGGCCGGTGCGACCTCAGTACCCGACGCCTCTCGGCTCCTTTTGCGACCCGAGGCTGCGTATACAAAAGGAAAGGGACAAGAGTGAGATGACCAGAGACAGAAGTGGTTTAGAGAGGCCAATGAAAAAAATAAATAATAAAAAGGAAAAGAAGCAAGGCATACCAGCAGCAGTGGATGGTCGAGAGGTTGGGGAGGCCGGCACGGTCCTATGCGCTAGCGTCTTGCGACCCCCCACCACAGGCGTCGCCCTTGGAGCTGGGGCCACGGTTGATGATGGGGCCGCGGTAGAGGCCACGGCCGCTGGTCTGGCGAGGGAAGGGGCCGGTACCCTGGGGGCGACCACAGTCGGGGCGCTTGGCCGAGGCGGCCCAGCTGATACCTTCTTCATTTTGCTGCCTTTGGGGGTGAGAGGGTCCCAATCTGCATTCGTCAAGGCCGCCCTCACGGCTTCTTCAATAGGCCGAAGAAATCTGGCCGAGATGCACTCTTCATACTAGACCCTTCCATCCTCGTCATACGCATTACGGCGTGACCAAGGCGTCAGAGTCAGGAAGGTCATTCCCTTTTGGAGCT